TTAACTAAAGGTGATCTTTTAAGTAAGAATTTGTAGCAACGGTGCTAGATAATGTTTACAGTGAAGCATTCCACACGCATTTCAATTTACATGGTTATATAACTTCAAATTTTATAAACAAGAAATTCATAAAATTCAGTTTTAATGGATTATATAATTTATTAGAGAATTTATGGTCGTTTCATAAATGCATGCAAGGTTTCGTATTATTGAAAACGTCCTGATGGAGCTGATCACATTATTTTCAAAATAAATAGCATAGTTACCTAAAAATATCTCAAAATTTTTTTTATAAATATGCTTGTGTTACATAATGAAAAAGAAAATTTATTTAAGCATAAACACAACAATTAATCACTTTTAATCTTACATAAATTTTATATCTCTTGAAAGCTTCTGATATAGCTTTTGCATCTGTTAGTTGCTTGGTGAACGTCTTGGTGTAATGACCAACACTAGTCTCTCGTTATATTGGTATTAAATGCCTTTCCATTACTTTAATATCTTGATGAAACCGTTCGCTTTACCTCTCATTAACATTACCCAAATTGCCGGAAAAAAATTAAGGAGACCGTTCAAAAAGTGTATCTTCAAGCTCATTAAATATTCTAGCTATTTAAACTTCTCCAACAATACGGTAATTATAAAATCATAAAGTGCATCCTTTTTGTTGTCCAAGAACTTTGTAATAACCTGCTTCAATTATATTAAAGCCTCCTTCTCAATATTGTTTGCAATTCAATGTTGGAAACGCATATAACCTAGATTTAGATGAATGATTCTATAACAGCTTCCATTGGTTTTTAAAAAAGCTTTTATGTCCGATACCAATTTCATTCATAAAACCAGTAATATATGAGCTGTACACTAAGGCATCTGCTTCCTGCTTTCAACAAGTTCTTCTCCTCGAGCCTGGAGCCAAGTAATTTAGTTCTTCCTTTGTTAAGCCCAAATCCTGATGATTTGGTTATCATTTTACTTTACCTGAGTAAACAAGTTAAGTTTTAATTTTTATCTTTGTTTTTTCCTTTGAAACAACCATGTCACTATTTGAAGCAGTGAAGATGTCTAGGATAACATTATCCAAAACGTCTGGTGGACTGGGGGCAGGACACTGACACTGACCATCTTTTCATCACTTTGATATATTGATGAAATCGTTTGTCTTGTTATCCTTGACATCATATAAATTGCTTGGGAAAAAAAGGTTTCTCCTTTTTTAACCTTACGCTTACCTTCTTTTGTAACATCTTCAATATATATACATAGCATACCTTATGAGACGTTGGAGACTTATACTGATCACAAAATTCAGGATTGGCTATGCGTAGAGCGCCCCTCCTTTGCACCGGAACGAGTCTTCTACGGTTATTCTTGGTATGTCCGGTAGCCCAAACTTTTCAACCATATAGCATGATCGCATTTGACAACTCCATCAATAGTTTGTGCATTATGTGACTAAGCATGATAGTGATCTTTCCCTCTTTGACGCAAGCTGTGTCTCAGAACGTAGATTTGCTGTCCAGATACAACCCCACATACTTAACCACTCCAGTAACTTCCATCGGTATTCGCCGTCTAGTAAGCAGCAGAATCTCCATTTTATCTGACGACAAGGACTGCCAACGGTCCAGCATCCTGGTGAGGACCCTTCTCATTACCATGTTAATCCTTACTTGCTCTTCGTAGATGTTCTATACTTGGATTACTGCAGCAAGATCATCTGCATAACCTACCAGAAATGTCGGAAAGTCATGCGACTTGCGCACAGGTGATCCGGCTTGTCCTTCGGAGGGGACGTCAAACCATCGGTCCTCCCTTCAGTTGTACATCTCTGTTGTCGCGTTAGTGGTAAGTACCGTTACCTGTTAGAAGGGGACGTTGGCAGTGCGATTAATGGACCACACGGAAAAACGACTCACTGCCCCCCTTAGAAATTTCTAGAGGAAGCCAAGGTTGAAGTTAGGCTGTGCTCCATTGGGCAGAAAGAGGACTGCCAACGTTCCAGCATCCAAGTGGAGGACCCTTCTCATTAGCATGTTGAATCCTTATTTGCGCCTCGTTGATGTCCCGCGCTTTGATCATTGCAGCAAGGTCATCTGCATTGCCTACCAGAAATGTCCTCTCAGGAATTTTCATACGAAGAACTTTGTCATAAAAAACGTTCTATAGTTCTGGCCAAAGGACTGCTCCCAATGCAACTCGTTGATGAACATCTGCCATAAGTAATTAGGGACAGAAAAATCTTCCATTGCGCGGAGAATGTCGTACCCGCTTGTAGAATTGAAAGTATTCCTCACATCTAAGATCACCAAGACGACAATCGGTCTAGAGTGATAACATCTGCAATGACTATGTCTGAACGGATTTCGTGTGGTGCTCTTCAACAAAATAGATTTTCAAATGGCACGTCCAGAGATTGGGTTATTAGAAACTGTAGTACAGGTTTCTTATAGCAGGAGCTATCCTAGGACCTTTATTTCTTAATCAGCTCTTATATATTCGACAAAAATTTTTGTATATCTTTGTTTATATTACATTAATGGTCATCTATTCTTAAACCCTTGTAATATTGCCGCATAACAGCCATTTTTAGGTATTTGAACATGATGTTTACCATTTTTACCTTTAGTTTTTATCTTAATTTCCAATTTGTTTCGTAAAGTTTTAGAAGTAAAAACTACCTTATGTTATTATTTATGATGTTGTCTTAAATTTTAACCGTTGTTTGTTAAGTACTTGAACAGTGTTCATCTATTAACTTAATTCCTTTTTAATTTTTACCTACTCTTCGACTACTTGAAGGTTATGGAATCCCATAACCAATTTGTTATCCAATTCTTGAACACGTAGGGTGTTTTACAGCGAAAACTACAATTACTAATTATTTTCGATGATTGGATTATTCTGTTTCGTAGTTGATAATGTTCTGTTCTATTTCTTTATGCAAAAGAATTACATCCAATGCGTCGTCGGACGCGTCGGTCTCCTTCATACAATGATGAAGTATCTGATCATTGGTTAGTACTTCTTGACATTGCTTGAAAGCTTTAATGTATTCTAAGTTTTTCGTTAAGACGCTTTGTTACACCAGCTATTTTTAACACTCACATTCTCTTCTAGGGTGTTAACTGTGTAGATCACTCCTGCTCATCACGGTTTGAGACAAGGCTTTATAAATCTTTGCAGACTGTATCAGTATATCGTGAGAAGGGTGGTATTAGTGTGCAGCACAGATTATGTCGTACCTAATGAGAACGATTATATCTAAGTCTCCGTAAACCATGAAAACACTTTTTCAGATATAAATTAAATATGGATCCATCAAAGCAGTGTTGTGTTTGCGTGATAATGATGCCATCAAAGACAAGGCGAGTCAGTACGAATAGTATAGACTAATATTAGTCTAGTTGACTAATTAAGATTTATTTATCAAATACAATAATCTGACTTTCAGCAGCATTAAGCTTCAATTTAAAAAGCTTAGATCATTCGTGCACTTTATGATTACGATTACGATGATCAACAAGTAATGGAAATTAATGTACAGTTGTACTAATATAAATTTGGAGGTTGTTTGCTTACAGATGATAGTTGGAACATATCAGAAAAAATATCACATTGAATTGATCGTGAATAGGGGAGATGCTTAAGTTAACGTTTTTATATACGAAGCAATAAGAAGGAAAACATCGAAACCTCAACGAAGAAAAAGGGAGAAAACCCTTTTGGATGAGAAATTATCATTGGCCTTACTGAAACCAAACAATACCAACAAACTCACATCCCGATTATTATAAGCGTGCGTAAACAATCTTGATCAGTGCAGTTATAGTACTATAACTAAGACGTAAACCAGCCTACATGTCATCGATTACATGTTGATCCTGAAAATAGTTAAATACTTTAGAGCTCACAATACATTTACAAAGAGCATTTGCTAATTCAGAGAGACGAAATTGATGTAGGACGAAATTTACTAAGAGAAACTAGGATTATTATCTCTAGAACAGGTACAACATTAGCAAGAATAAAGATGACATCTCGATAGAAAAATTAAAAATATGGGTTAACGTGGTCACAACAATATGAAGATGGTACAAAATTTGGAACACAATCTGCACCGATGCATTACAAGCAGCTCAAGTGACTGCTATATACACTTCATCCCCATCAATCATAGAGAATGAAAAAGTTAATAAACATTCTCACCCAGCATATGCATGGTAAAATAGTTATATCTCCCAGAATTTTCAAGATATTCCAAAAACTACAACTTCTGCTTATTCTTCATGAATTAAAATAACGATAGAATCAAAATAGTGATTGAAAAAATGTCGATTCGGTTTCAAACGTAAATACTTCCTTAAAGCAAAAGCATTCGATATCTTGTTGATTTGGACAACGGTGGTTACCAGGGTTGGGCAAACTTGCTAACTAAAGAAGTACGTCGTTATTATTTATTAATAATAATTTATTGCTTCCCAGAAGGTTACAATTTAAAAACTACAACACCTATAACTTATGTAATTCCTATCCCATTCCCCAGCATCTTCCTGTCTTCCTACGTCTCTTTGCTACCACCACCTCCCCAATCAATCTCCTTCCCTCCGCCCTCTCCACCAGCACCTGCCTCCAATCCAATATTTATTTACCCTTTCTTCATTCCCACATTTAAACCTGACTAACCTCTTCCACTCCTCATCCTCCTCCGTCATCAGGTACTTTCCCTAGGTTGTACCAACGTTCCCTTATCTTCGTCCCTCTCTCTTGCATTCCCACATCCCTGTCCATGCTCTCCAGTTGTTTCCACATCTCATTCCTCTCCTTTCTTTTCCTATTCACTTCTTCCATTGAATACCCCATCCTTCTATAGTATTCCTCCCTTTCTCGCTGCCCATAACGACCCTTTCCTGCCTCAATCTCTCTTCAGCACTCCCCCAAGATTTTACAATGCACTCTTTCTTCCACCCTCTCCTCATAACACACCGCTCGCTTACCCGCCTCCACCCTCACCTTATCTACCTTCATTTCTTCTGTGACTATATATCCTGGAGTCTTCCTGGCCAAACCCAACACCCACCTCCAGTACCTGGTCTGCACATCCTCTAGAGCCCCTGCTTCTTCCATCTTCATATCTCCACCTCACACATCATAACGGTTTTTATCAAGCTTTCAAACATTATTTTCCTTTTTCCTACATTTTTCCCAGATATCCTCTCACCCTATCCTACAACCTTATTCGCTTTCGTTAAGTCCGTCGTTATTATACATCTTATGTAGAGTTGCCTTTTATAGGTCCACTTTATCTTAAGGATAGTCTGCCAATTTTGACATAGCTACAGTTCACACTTCGGTTACCTTCCAGCTGTATGAAAAGAAATTTATAGATAAGCGTAAAGTTAAAAGATGATTAAAAAAATATCGAGAATAAACAGAAAGAAGTTAGAGAGAGTTTCTTATGAAGTTGATAATTCCTTACTTTCTAAACTGCATGGTGACACAAATGCGATTAATAAACAAGAAAATTGTTATAGTTTTGTTACATAGTAATAGTTTCCTTAATTATCAAAAAACTGCACTTATATGTTGTAAGGTTGTTATTTTGCTGTTGGATTTTTTGTTATTGTTTGGATTAATGTAATTATGAAGTAGCAGTCGTCGTGTATTTGAATTAAATCTGCTGGAACCAATGTCTTGCGAGTTATCTAGCTCTTTCCGGTATTTGATCTATTGGTTCTTCCGTGCAATTACACCTTTAACTTTTCATTGAAAACTTTCACCATTCCTAAACAATCGAACATAACACATATTCTTTCAGCTCCCTAGATGGTCTCTTAACATCACGCCAATAATTGTGATTAATCTCAATATTTGTAGTACTGTCAAAAACTTGCTTATTGATTTACTATTTTAAAGTAAATCTAATGTTCTTGATTTGTTATCTGGTATTTTCTTCCGATCTACGTATTCAAGCATTGCGAATTCTTGTAGCGATATTGATTACCTTATGTGAAATAGAATCCAGGTGCCAAGCTAAATTTTACGGTGTTTTCGTGTCTAATCCACAGGTAGCAAAAGCGATAGAAGGATTCACGTTGCGTTTCATACACTGTGCAGATTAGTATTATCTCCCTTAGCTCATGTTACAAACAGACATTGTTATACTTTCTCATCTAGTCCACATCAGTGTGATATGTGTTTCAGTTACGCTGAAAACTAAAATGGAAAAATTGGCAAAGGCTGCATAGGTAGCAGGATAACAGAAGGACACTCCATTTGTTGATAGAACTCTATAAAATTCTTCTGAAAGTTATTTATTTTGACGACACAATTTGCAATTACAAGTTTACATATCAGGCATCACATCAAATGACGGAATCAAATTTCACCATGCAATTTAAGCATCCCAACAAAGTCCTTTGAGTATATTCGTCACTGAACATAATCGGATCAACCTAATGTGAAAAGATATATCTTTAAGTGTAGAGATATATCTTGATCGTGTATCAAGTTCTTCTTCCTAGCTATCAAGGATCATAAGGCAAGGTTTGGCCAAACTTTTCACCAGATATCGTTCCAGCTCTTCGTCGAATACTCGAATGAACGTTAATACTTCCAACTATCTCTTTCAGGTGGAAGGCAAGTATATGTTATTTCGTTTCGATGTATTGGAGAAATTAAATTAAAGCTGTAGGAAATATTTGGTAATGGTAATTATTCAAGATATTACTCAACTGTTAAGAAAAGGGGAATACGAGGGTCTGTTAGGGTCTTCATATGAGGAAATGCTTTATAAAGCGGAGTGCGCTTCCAGGCCATCAGGATAATACACTGGAGGAACACATTGGATATAATCTTAAACAGATTGCTTCCAGATTCACATAAAATGACAGCGATACCATGTATATTGATAGCAAGCTTGTTAATTTTTATTTTAGGATGTATGACTTGATTAAGCCGAGGGCTTTTGTGACCAACAGAGCTATATTATACTGACACAAAAATAAAGTATTCAAAGATTAATGACATAATTAAACCCTGGTTGGGTGCGGGCGAAGTACAATTTCAATGCCATTTCGATACAAAACTACACAATCTTCAAAGAAATATGCCTTAAATAACAATCATATGGATAAGAAACTACATAGTTTTCAAGGAAGTACAGTATGTTAATTAATTATCGTATCCGACGTCATCATTGCAAGTATGCAACCAATATCACCAATATTGGTATTGCAATGCGCAAATCGCGTAGTTGGTTGCATACTTGCAATGATGACGTCGGGTACGATAATTAATTAACACACTATGAGTTTATTAAGCCGAGACGATATATCGATAGCGCATTTCAGGTCTATTCAAGCGGAACGCTATGTTGATACCTTGCTGATACAAAACCATAGTATTTTCAAGGATGTAGGAGTTTATTAAGCCAAGGTTGTTTCGGGCCGATGACACATATTGATTTTATATCGATACAAAAGGATGTATAAGTTCATTAACTCGGCCTACTTTCTAGTAAAAGGCTATATCGATACCTTACTGATGCGGAGTAAAAACCACCGAGTTTTTAAGTATGTATGTGTTCATTAAACTGAGTCAATGCTATATTGATAAAAATAGGGTGGCTTTGTGGGTGGTGGGGTGGAGAAGAATGAAGTCATATATCCTTGATAATTGTATAGTTTTGTAGCGAAATACTATCAATCGAGCTCGGCTTAAGGAAATTATATGTCCTGGAAAACTATGTAATTTTATATCAATATGGGTCGAAGCAGCTCCTCGGCCGTAAGCGACCTCGGTTTTCTTAAGTCATACCTATTAAAAACTATCCTTCTTTTTATCGATATGCTGTCGATGTAATACTGCGGTCTTTGAATCTTTAAAAATTCGTTAGTTTTGTATCAATGATGCAACAATAGCTTAAACATTCGTGACAGCTCTGCAGTTTGTGATTAATTTAGCAGGAGCTCTTCGTGAGAACAATTTATTCCATGTTCTATTACCTTCTTCAAATATCTCAAAAACAATTTGTTGTGTGCGAAGTTTTAAGTAAAATTAGAGTAACATTCATTCAAGATAGCGTTATTCGCGAGATCATATGACGGTCACAAGCAATTTATTAAATGGGTCCTATATATTTGCGTTCTTCGAAATCAATTAATGAAAGTGTGATTTCACGAGTACGGTGACGAGGCATTTTTCGTATACAAAATGTAAATATGTTTTGTTTGAAAATAATTCAAACTGATAATGTAACAGTCATAAATAAAAGGCATAAATATAGTATTTTAAGATATTCGCGAACTTAAGAAAATATGTAACTTTTTCGATTAGATCTAACAAGAATAGTGGTAAGTCCACAGTTAGACTATACAACGAATATCCTGATGTAGAATAATAATGATAATTCTGACAATCAGCAAATTAGTCACAATAAACATCAGATAGAAAGTGAGGAAAACTATAACTCTGTGTCGATTGAAGAAAGTATAGAAAGTTCTGGCGGTTCTATCTTATAGGGTGATGATGTTTTTTTCTGAAGAGATAAAGTTTATGCACAGAAAAAATAAATTTCAGAAATATACACGAAAAAAAGATACAAAGGAAACTTCATTGCATGATGTTACTTACTTAATAAATAAAGCCAGGAAAAAAGTTATTACTCCTGACTGATTATAAAGAGTTCATCAATCAAGTACTTTCAGGCCTAACCTTAATTGTTGTATATTTAGACGATATCCTTGTAGCAAGTCGATATGAAGAAGAACATATACTTCATTTAAAACAATTATTTTACAGATTAAGTTCCTACAATATCCAACCCAAAAAATGCATTTTCGGTGTTAAATCATTAGATTTTCTTAGTCATGATATTTCAGCCGATGGCATTCGAGCATTCCAATCAAGAATCGCAGCGATAACACATTTTCCAAAACCAACGACTCTAAAAGAGTTACAAAGATTTTTGGGAATGTTAAACTTCTAGGTGGCATCTGTTAGGCAGATTCTTGCCTAACATTTCAAATATCCTTGATCCCTTACAAAAATCGATCTCATCAAGTTCTTGGACACTGCAACACGACAACGTTTTTTCTTTAGCCTAAGATCTTCTGTCAAAATCTATCTTTCTAGGACGTTCCTCTTCACAGTTACCCTATCATTGTCAACTGATGCATCTAACACAGATATGGGAGCTGTTTTAACACAAACCATCAATGAAAAATCTCAACCATTAGCATACTTTTCCAAAAAATTCACTTCATGCCAAACCAAATATTCTACTCTGCCATCAAATTTTTCAAACATTCCTTACATAGAAATCAATTTATGGTATATACAGATCACAAATCCGTTGTCACATCAATTTTTACGCCCACAGACAATACTCCTCGTCAAACCCGATATCTAAGTTATATTGCATAATTTACTTCAGATATCAAATGTATCAGAGGAAATTCAAATATTGTCGCAAATACTCTGTTCAGAACAAACATCGGATCACTAAATTCATCTTATCCAGATTTTCTAAACCTTAGCAACGATCAACTTGCTGACACAGATTTGTCAAACTTACTGAATAAACAATTTTTCAACAATCTTTCAAAATCTTATCGTTTGGCACATCAAACAACATCACAATCTAATATCAAACTGTGGTGTGAAACCTCTTCATCATCTCCAAGAAATTATATTCCACAACAACAAGCTTATCTATCCCGGAATACGTTCCACCATTCATGCAATCAAAACAAGATTCTTTTGGCCGTACCTGTCAAAGCAAATTCATATTTGGACCAAAACCTGCTTAAAATGACAACAAGCAAATATCCAAAAACATACTAAATCGCCAATCGTCAACCTCAAAATTCCTAAAATTAGATTTGATCATATACCTAGGTTGTCCCTAGGTTGTACTTATTTACTTACAGTTATCGAACGCTTCACACTATGGCTAAAAGCTTTCCGGCATTATTTTAGTTGATTTAGTATACCTACCACAATTACACATGATCAGGGACGGCAATTCAAATCAAACCTTTTTTCAAAATTTAACACATTATTCGGCACACGACAAATACACACATCACCTTTCCATCCTCAAGCAAATGGAATGCTAGAACAATTTCATTGATCATTGAAGACAGCTATCATCACTAAAGGAGACATAACAACAATCTACCCCTCATCCTACTAGGATTAAGAACATCTCTTAAGGAAGATCTGGGTTGCTCCTGCGTTACGGGTTCCTGGAGAGTTCTTCATACCTACTACTCCATCTATAGAATATGAACCCTTCCTCTCCAGTTTAAAAGAAACTTTTTCCAAATTAAAACCTGTGAATACGTCTTTTCATTCTATTCATAAAGATTTGTACAAATCAAATTTTGTTTGCATTAGAATTGAGGTTTCAAACCATCGTTATCTTAACGCTACGAAGGACCTTTCAAAGTGCTTACAAAAGCAAATAACTATTTCATAATTTAGGAAGGCAATGATAACATTGTTTTTAACATCGATCGCCTTAAACCCGCTTTTATCTTTAACGAAAATATTACATCTCGTCACAGTTTTGAAGTTTACCCCTGCGCCCTTACGAATATCTCCCCAAAAATTTTAAATGAAATCGCGTTGTATCTCAAATGAAAGCTTATCTTATAAGGATTATGGTGATGTGTCACTTGCCCACGTTTTCTATTTTCTCATACATTTTATGAGAAAGTTTATCATTGAACCTTGAGGAGAACGGTAAGCGCTGGCGAAACCTAATTTTAATCAGTTAGTCTAACAAACTGTCACATTAGTTGTTTCCGTTTAGTCAACTTCACTTACATTGGTTTCCGTAAAAATGGTGTACTTTATTGCTGAAAGGGTGGAAGTTATCTACATTTATGGTGCCGAGCAATGTACTTGTGCCACAGCAAGAGTTTTAAATCAAAGACATCTAAATAAGCATATGAAGCATAAATATGTTCGCAAACTTGCGCTAAAATTTGAAGCAACTGGATCGGTAGAGAACTAGAAAAGACATGCTAATAAGCTACATGGAAGTAATTGGATATTCTGGAACCAACCAGTTCTTTGCGTCAGGTTGCAGCATCCATCGGACTTTCTTACTCGTCGGTACGCAAAGTGACAAAGCTGCATAAATTTCGCCTTTACAAGATGCAGATATTGCAAGATCTTAGCGAGGGCGATTAAGGCCGACGACTAGAATTTTGCGACACTATGATCGAAATAATCATCGCGAATCCAAATTTAGTAAAAAACATTTGCTTCAGTGATGAGTGCACTTTTTAATTAAATGGACATGTGGACAAGCATAATGTATGATATTGGAGCGACGAAAAACCTCATATAACAAGAGAGGAACACACCCAGAGACATCAAAAGATTAATGTTTGGGCAACTACTACGTAGTACTAAACGTACTAAATACTAGATGATTCAATAGTTGGATCCATATCCATTAATGAAACGCTAAATGGTGACGTCTATTTGAATATGTTGGAGAACATCATCGATCCTCTAATAACTGAAAAGTGAAAAACCAGCTTTATGAAGAAATCGAATGGCCTCCATGATCACCGGACCTCACAAGGACTTCTTCCTTTGGGGTCATTTAAAGTCAATAGTTTATAAGACTAAACCCATAGATTTAAATGACTTCCATCAACGATTTATTGTCGATTGAAGAAAGTATAGAAAGTTCTGGCGGTTCTATCTTATAGGGTGATGATGTTTTTTTCTGAAGAGGTAAAGTTTGTGCACAGAAACAATAAATTTCAGAAATATACACGAGAAAAAGATACAAAAGAAACCTCATTGCATGATGTTACTTACAAAAAATGCATTTTCGTGATCAAAAATCATTGGAAATCATCATATTTCAGCCAATGGCATTCGAGCATCACAATCAAGAATCACAGCGATAATATATTTTCCAAACGAACGATTATAAAAGACTTACGAACATTTTTGGGAATAATTTGAAAGTAATAAATTTTGTACTTTTACTGGTTAAAAACTATTTATTCATTAGAAGCTGACATGTTTCGATCTATTCGATCATCTTCAAAGCTCTACAAGAAGCCGTACAATTTCAAATTAGTATCAAAAAATCAAAAATTTTAAAAATAATCTTCAGAAAACATGTTGTTAGACAACAAAGAAAATTGGAAAAGTTATACAAATAAGTGTTGAAAAATATAAAATTTATAATTATTACTTATTATTTTTTTTTCCGGTCCATCAACTACTGTGGTTATTAGGACCATATTACTTATTATTATTACGTATATTATTACTTACGCAGTCTATTCATTAACTTAAAGTTAACATTTCAAAAAAATTTTCTTTTTATACTATTTGTACAGAAAACGCTTTAAAACTACGACGAATACAAGTTAAAAACTCTTGGCCAAATGGTTCAAGAAAGAAATAAAACAAGTTCTTAAAAATAAAATTTTTCACAACGGCGTATTTTTAGAATAACATCATGGGGTGTTCCGAAAGAATGTCACACATGTCTGATCAGAAATGAAAGGCAAAAAACAACAAATGAAAAATAATTAAAAATTTCATACATATTCATACATATTTCAAATTATTTATTCACTGGTTATAATGGATCCAACAAATAATTTCTTTCAATTTTTGGGAATGTTAAACTTCTACCACAGATTCTTACCTAACATTTCAAATATTCTTGAACCCTTAGACACACTTTCAAAATCACATCAAAAACAAAAAACGATCTCATCAACTTATTGGACACTGCAATACAAGATCTTCTGTTAAAATCTATCTTTCTATGACATCTCTCTTTACATGCTACCCTATCATTGCAAACTGATGCATCTAACTAAAATTTACTTTATGCCAAACCAAATATTCAACTTTTGATAGAGAACTATTAGCAATCTACTTTGCTATCAAATTTTTCAAACATTCCTTACATGGAAATCAATTTACGACATACACAGATCACAAACCCTGTGTTACAAAAATGTTTTGGTCCACAGACAAAACTCCTCGTCAAACCCAGCTAAAACCAGCTTGATGAAGAAATCGAATGGTCTCCACGATCACAAGGACTTCTTAGTGTGGGGTAATTTAAAGTCAATAGTTTATAAGACTAAACCCATAATATAAATGACTTACGTCAACAAGTGCCGAAACATTCCACGAGAAACTTTTCAGAAAGTAAGGCAAGAATTTGAAAACCGGCTTTACTACTGCATATAGGCCAATAGTGCTCATTTTGATCAAATTTTAGCACAAATTTGCGAACATATTTGTGCTCCATACGCTTATTTAGATGTCTTTGATTCAAAACTCTTGCTGTGGCACGTGCACCATAAATGTAGATAACTTCCACCCTTTCAGCAATAAAATACACCATTTTTACGGAAACCAAGGTAGGTGAAGCTGACTAAAGGGAACAACTAATGTGACAGTTTGTTAGACAAAACGTTCACCGTTTTGTCTAACAAAAGCGTTTACCGTTCTCCTCAAGTGGCAATGATAAACTTTCTCATAAAATGTATGAGAAAATAGAAAACGTGGGCAAGTGACACATCACCATAATCCTTATAAGATAAGCTTTTATTGGAGATACCACGCGATTCCATTTAACATTTTTGGGGAGGTATTGGTGGGAGTGCTATGGTAAACGTCAAAAGTGGGAATCATAGGTCCTGAAATATAAGTGGACCCGATTTCGGAAATTTTCAATTCCCTGTTGGTTTTTGAAATATCTAAGGCGGATCGTTTTCAAAAAATCACCCTGTCTTCAGAGATAATTCTTAGATCCATCCATATTTTGAGGGCACCAAAAGAGATATTGTTACCCATAATTGGTATACTAATTATAACCTTGAAGAGTGAATAAGAGACTAAAATGGAAATCCTCCTACATTTTTGCGTAATAACTTAATAAAGACTTATTACCGTTGATTGAATAAAAACGTTATTCATATTTTCTTTGCGAAATATGCGTCAACGTCGTACTAGCAAAGTCTAGAAAGTAACCTTCATATGACCTTGCAAATTATGTTAACTTAATAAGATGTGGTCATTGCTTTATTTTCCCTTTCGTATGAATCAATTTTAATTTGGATAATTTTTATATTACATATTGAAATGTAGATTACTTATGAGGAAGAGTTCACACACTGATAATCAGATTTAGTTGAGTCATTACTAAGCAAGGTTTCTCAACCTATCATTGATGAAGCACACTTGAATGTAGAATGAGACATTCTGATATTTTGAAGTGACTCAATTCTGGATTAGATTACATTATATAAAACGAATTCATCTGGTCGTAGCATTCCTGGATTGGCAACCAAGTTGAACTGAGATATTGTTGAATTTTAAATTGTGGCATAAAATTGAAATGTTTTTTGATAAAATGGAAATCGTACTGAATATGTGATTACTTTGCAAAATTTTTTAATTCATTAAATTGTTGCAAGAAGTCATTCTAGGAATGAGGATGACATTCGTATCGTTTGCATCAATACCCTTATAACTGCTTATACTTAAGTTTAATTTTGCGTTCTAAATCTGTTATGAATATGATTTCAACATTTTTCTAATTCAACCTAAATATCGAAACATTACAATTTTAGATTGCTTATCAATTAGTGTTGAAAAAATGGTCGATCAGAAACAATTAAATCAAATCAAATTCATAGCCACAAATGATAAAACCATATCTAACATCAACCTGATTAAATAAACAAGATATTTTCTAATCAATTACATTAATGCCAGTTTAAATTTCTTTTTCTTAATAAACTATGCTAAGGGGACGATTTCGATTAGTTCTCTAACCGATATCGTTATTGGACATTTTTCTCTTATTGACTAATAGTAATTGGAAAATTGGAATCGGTAACCACGAATGCCACCGCGAAACTCGGTCTCGATGTAATAATTATCGTTATGGGGTAATCCCAGAGAAGAGTTCGGCGCCGTGTAGAAAGAAAAATCGAGAGGGCGTCGAAGATGTAGTAGTTTTACTTGTGAAAATTGTCGCCTTGCAGCGCTGGCATCGTCTTTTAAAGAGACCCATGGCGGGAGTAACGCTTACATTCAGTTCGCAACAACCGCACCAGGCAGTGTCTCTTGAGAAGTGAGTGTTGTGCTCGTTTTTGTTTAACTTATTTTATTTTATTAAGTAAGTTTTTTAATATTTAAAGGGGTTCAAAAAAAGGTTTTTAAGTTATTAATTTTTAAAATAAAAAAAAATTGTTTCATATCTATATTACACTTTAATTACAAATTCAATTAAGTAAGAGAATTTTGGATGCTTTTGAAGCTTTCTATTATTGTTTTTTAGATTAATTTTTAACTAAAAATTCAAAAAGTCAACTCGTTTATGTACTTTCTTCTTAAACCTGTTTTAAGAGACTAACGCTAAAGGCGCTGTTCCACATTTTGCAGCTCAGCAAAATTTTTCTGCTTTTTTTTAACCGTGGGTGAAAGTTTTTTTCGAGTCTTCGCGATTATCCTCACGTTTACCAGTTACCAAACTCGTACGGTTTTAGAAGTGAATCGTTAAAAAGGGGGGAATAACTTTACGAGTATAAGTAGTGAAAGTGGTCGTCTTTCTCCGCGCTTGGTAAACGGTAACGATGACGCCAAGAAGAAGACCCGTTTTGCAAATATAAAAAGTTTAGAGTTATGCAATATTAATATATAACGTATATAAATACTAAATGATTTCAATTGTAGATCAAGAGCGAAACTTTTAATTCCAACTATACAAAAATTTGTTAATTTTAAATTTTAAGCAATAAAACGTTTCCCAGTTCGGTTTAAAATTATTTTCGGTACAAATCAATTTAGAACACAATTTTGCGGTGTTTTACGTAATTCTTCAGCGTTTCACCGCAACTCACGGCCGAATTTTGTGTATTTTACCTTTCAAGGATTTATTTATGATTTATTACCTAGAACATTTTCTTAATATTTCTAACGGACTTGCTAAGAATTCTTACGACAAGAATTTATAATATTTATACCACCTTTTCATTTTGTCACCTTAGTTAATAAATAACAATTTAAATAAATCATTTTAAAATCAACATGTGATTTTAAAATGGGATAAAGCAGCCGATAATTATTACTTAACGACACACTTTCTATTTTATATTTCGGCTATATTATTGCAAAATATGCTTGGTCTTAATAGCAATAATCTTGTGGAAAATAGTAGACTAATAGAATTAATAAGAAGAAGATGGGCGATTTCTTAGTTTCAATAAGATTAATCACTATGTTTTTTTAATCCACTTTTGTTTGTGGAATATGATGAATATTTAAGATATCGTACCTCAAAACCTAATTTTTATATCGTATTAAGATAACAAGAAAATTAACCCTCCACATACGAGGTGGGGTATCATATACCCCAGCTTGAGGAAAACAGAAAAAATTGAAAAACAATAAAGACCCGCGAGATCGTGTTCTATGTAAAATTTGATAGAAATAGTATCTTATTTCCGGGGTATGTCATACCCCACCTAGTCTGGCATTGAGGTTAATTCACCTCGTATGCGGAGGGTTAAAAGAAATTTAATGCATCTCTCGTAAAAGTAGTTGTTGCTATTTGTTTAAATCCCTCTTTGCATATTTAATAGTTATGCAGGTTATATGGAAAATAGTGAAATTTCAAAGAATCGTATCTAGAAGACTAACTACAATATCATAATGAGATAAAAAGCAGTTTAAAGAGAATTTTATTTAATTTTTGTACCTCATAAATAATTAGTTAATTTTCATAAACGGCGTCGTTTATTATTTTTTTAATTCAACTCCATATATTTACAATCATCGAAGTTATTGTGATAAAGATAGAAAGCAAAAGAATCATATCTCATAAACTAATTGAGATATTATGATGAAATGAAAAGCATTTTAAGGGCTATATTTTCAAGTTTGCTAATAATTATTTCTTGGTTTTTATAAACACATGATTTTTTTAATCACATTGTGAATATTGAAAGTTAAATACTTTGAAATTAATTAAAGTTTGTTGTAGTGGTTTCATTTTCTTTCACTTCACCCATTTGAAATATCTTGTTTATCTTATGTCTAATTTGATACTTGCTTAAAGCAGCAATCTTCTTTTATGATTCCATGTCTCAATATAAGTTACATTTTCTAATAATTTGTCCTCTGGAACTTACAGTCTCTCTTTCAATTCTCCCTGATATATCTTAAGATATGCCCAAATGAGTTAAAGATCTCTCCGCAAAAGAGACATTTACACTTATCAGGTGTGCTTCTTTGATAAGTTTTATGGATTTTGCTGCATACACCGATTGTAATGTTCGCATAGCCAACGAGGTGGCTCCCACGTTGGAACTGATTCGTGGACGAACACCAAGAATTTCTTGTGGTATGGAGGTCCTCTGAGAACCAGAATTAAAGTGGAGACTAATTGCGGTTGGATTTCGATCGCTTTGTAAATGTTGTGAACGTTTTAAATCATCAATTTGAACATAATTTAAATTTAATAGAATCATATAAAAAAATCACTTACAATTAATCATTGGATTCTAAAAATATCATGACCAGAAGTAAGTCAATAAATGTACAAGCAAAAAACAGGGACAGAAACCATATCTTGACCATTTGCAGAAAAATATCTGTTTCAGAAACAATACCATGGTTATTTGTAGAAAACAATATTGAGCACAGAATCACTATATTCTAACCAATAGTAAAACATCGTGGATCAAAATAAAATATTATGCACAGATGAAAAAACTTATTGCCAAATCAAAAACATCGACGAGAAATAAAAGTAAAATATCAGAAATAAAAATCATAAAATGATCATTTGTAGAAGAAAGTACTATGTTCTGACAGAATGGTTTGCGCAGAAGTAAAATATGTTGCACAAATGTCATCTTTTGAACCAATATATTATGGGCAGATGCTAATCACAAGATGTGTTATTAATAAGGATAAGCAGAGAGAAAATATCAAGAACGCATACATTATCATTCTTTATAACGAGATGCACACAATGTTGTAAAACTGATTAAGCAATGGGACAAGTTAGACAACAATGTAGTGCAACTACAACGTTATTTAGTTTCTGTAATAACAAAAATATTTACAAATGCGAGATCGACTGCTGATTTATCGGTGCTGAAACCAATGATGTATCTAAAGGTTAATGTTTTTAAGATATAACGAATATAGCAGGTTGAAAATGTAGCGTCTCATCTATTATTATACGAAAAGATCGTAATCTTTTAACTTTGATCAGCATGATGTGGAGTAAAATATCTCTAAGTAGTTGAGATAGTTTGTAACCGAGATGCTACAATCAACACAGCCAAACATATAACGCAGCGAAGATACACTTAATGCTTTAGACAATCGATTTCAAAACCGATGGTATATCTAATACTGCCATAAATCTGTTTTTATGACCTAGTAATATATTCAAAATATAGTGAGTGTCGTTGTTAAGAAATATAGTGCCAAATGCATTCAGTAACCATTTGTGCAGGCTGATTTTCAACTCATATGCATAAACTTGGGGAATTATTCTACAACGGGAATAATGATCAATTGGCGAAAAAATGTGTTTCCTAGATATTTGTGATATTTCCTTTTAATCAAGAATACATAGAACATTTTAAAATAACCTCACAGCAAGTTTTCGAAGTTATTTCCGATATTTTCTATACACAATTAGTAGTAATTCCGTGGCGTACACCATGCTTTTTAAGTTACTCCAACAATAAAAATGAAGAGTATTGAAGAATATCTTTATCTTCCAGGAAACACATTATCCAGATGTTCATCTAGGAAACTAAAAAACTTTTACTACCATTTTTTTCACCTTTTATTAGTCATTATTTGTCATAAGGAATAAATTCTCAAGTTTATGCGTATAGGTTGAAAATCACCCCTTATATAACCATTTGTTATTACCAAATAATTTATAAGTCAAAAAGAACTTTTGATAGGCATATGCAATTACTGAGAAAATATTACAAAGCTCTGGAAACATTTTCAATTTTAAACAGATTACATAACTAAACAAATTTCATTTAATTCTCTTTCTAATAAATGTGGGTAACTGTTCCCCATTCTGGATTTGAGTTCACATCGTTCATGATGTCTAAACCGTTTAAAGCCATATATCTTCGTATGTAGTACACCTGAAAACTATGGAGCATATTCAATCGAACGACAACTAAAATATTTTTTTTATTTTTTATTTATCTATGAGTTATAACGTCATTAACATCTCAACTCCCAAATGTCTCTCATTCTAATCCATACTAGCCTTAAAGCTCTCAAAGTTCTTCGTCATAGGAAGAATGAAATCATAATGTTCAATATTTCGGTCTTATTTTTCATAGCAGTAATATCTTTCCTCTTTCTGGTCTCATTCTTCAGCATAACTTCTTTTGTTCAATACTCATTGTTGAATGTCACTTGGCAAATTCACTAGGTTTGTTTTCTTTCAATATCTCTTATAATGGCTTATCATTGCTTTGGTTAAATAAGTATATGATTTTCTAAAACAGTGTTCTTTAAAATTTTTATCGGTTAAGTCCTCAGTATCCTTCTGCTATTTATTATTTTGTTTCGTTCTCTCTTACTTTTGTTTCAATTTTCGTTTTGTTGTTTTTGTCCAATTCACAATTAATTAATCATATTTAATAATTGCTCATTCTTTGGTATCTCTTAATTTCTATAGTATCATGACTAATCTCTTTTCTTTATGGTGTATGTCTTTGGGAACGCCTTTTGTTATCTTAATTATATTATACCACATCCCTTTTATAATTACCCCGGCTTTCCTTAGCAAAATGAATTTAATTATAATAGATCATTGTCATCATGTCTATTACAAATAATTGTATTGTTTTTATTGGACTGGTTATAAATCCAATACCATTTTATACAGTTCTTTAAGATTACAATGATGCAGTTCTTAAGTACAAATTGTAAAATACCACTCATAGCTTCATGAAAGTAAACCTGAAGAGACGGGTCAAAAAGGAAAAATGATTTAGCTACAACATAGCAAACACTGGCCTATGGCAAGATGAGAATTTATTGGGTTATAAAGGAAACATTTTCACAATTTCAAACATTCGTCTAAAGTAACTCAACCTGCTAAACTTCGTATTTTTTAGGTCC